GTTTCATCAACGGAGCCGGCTCACACTCCTTCACAGGCAAACACAAGCACACCGTATTTGGGAATCAAGCGCACACAAGGCGGTGGCTGGACCGTAGTCCGTTCCACACTGAGTGCATGGAACCGCTCTTTGAGCCTAGCACGGCCACAAGGACCGTGCACCCCGTCCCCTCCAGCAACGATCAACTGTCTCCTGGAGCCAGTATGAACGAGGCAGTGGGTAATAGACAGGTAGGCACCTTGTTATCATGCACATCAAGCGCACCCACACCGGGATATCAAGCAACAGCCATTCACTTGAAACGACAAGCGGAAATAAAATGAATCCAATATTGCATACAGATACGGTGGCATAACTATTCCCTAAATTACCATACGAAGTAATTTGGTTAGCAACAAATCCGTGATAAGTAAGAAATGTCCACAAGTTACTTAAAAATGCTACAAACGCAAAAAAATTACCGAAGATAAGTGCAATTAGCGCAAGCAACGTGGCCAGATAATAGAACATTATTCGGGTAGGCAGAACAAACCAAATAAAGTGAATTAAATTTATCCAGCTTAAAAAGACCTAGTTTAAGTGTAAGTTGGTTTAGCCCAACCGACATATACATCGCTTGTTATCTACACCGAACATATGACTGCGCAAGTCGAAAGTTTTCACGATACTAGCAAGGCGGGATTTGTAATCTCTGGAGAGAGACGAAATTTTCATTTTTCCAGCTTAGTGAGTAAAACGTTTCCTCCTTATATTTTATTTCATAGACATTTTACTTATCAGTCGATTAGTTCCAGCTTTTATAAGTAAATAAATTGGATATTCCTCAACGACGCGAGAAGCTGTTTCCTAAAAGGAACAGATCAAATAATGGTACAACCTTTCTATGACATTGCATTAATACATTTTCAGAAATAAACATGGGCGCAATTGCAAATTAGGTAACACAGAGTAATCAGAATCGTTCTGCTTTTTTTCCTACGATTGAATCAGGATTCTTCACAACCCCATGACAAGTTTGGGCCGAGAAAAAAACAGTAATGAAATGGGTTGTTGTCCGAAATGTTATGTGTATGTGTTTGGGAAATTTATTCAGGCACTATGGATACCGTTTAGGAATGCGTTATCTAGGGACTGTGATGTCCCGAACATAGTAATCACGTTTTGGACGGTTAAATGCTTACAAATCGCAAGCTTAAAATTGCAAAGTGTATAGCATGTTCCGCTATCACTTGGAAGTTTGTTCCAAATCTTTGAGTATTGGGTTAGAAAGAAACGTTCACTGATTCTCGTAGTAAATGTTGGAATCTTGAGATTTACCTCTGTTAAGTATTGGATATCAAGACTGCGAGTTTGGCAATTTATTTGATTCTGTAAAGAAAACATACGTTCAGCTTCATTATCCGAGGCCAAACTGAGTCAAATAAGAGTTTATCACTTTTCTCCCTGTATGTCAACTTTGAGGAATATCCACATAGCTTCCTTGTGAAGCGTCTCTGGACACTCTAAAGAGCATGCTGGTCAGGTTTCCGCAGATTAGACTGTACCATTGAACAGTATCCCATACACGGCAAAACATATGTTTTGTAAAGCGATATGCGAGATTACGTGAGGTAAAAATGATGGCAGATATAACCGATGGTCTTCATGGCTTTCGAAACTTGAAAGTCAGTGTTCAAAAAAGTTAAACGTGATTGAATATCGCACGCCCAAGTCGCGAACTGCCCTGCATTGTGAGATATAGGCACCTTGTAGTAATAAACTGTCTGGCGGTACTTGGCATTTGTACGACAAAATATTACGCTTGTCCATGGCAAATGACATCTGCCACAGCTGGCACCAGGAGTCAAGGGCGGATAAGTCATCCTAAATGAGACGCACGGCTTCCTGAGTATTTGCAAGTGGTTGTGAGTAGACAACTTTAATGTCATCAGCATAGATAAATTAACAAGTTTTGTCTTCAGCCACTGTTCATTATCCTTGGAAGTCGGAGTGAGGCTAGTAGGTTGTCTGCTAAAGTACCTAGAGTTGTGCTTGTGTTTCGATGCTGGTAATATTTATTGAGGGGAAACAACATTTCAAGTCACAGGACAGAACCGCAAGTTGCAGTCGAGTTAAATGGATAGAAGAAAGGTTGGTAAACTAGATGAAAAGGTTTTTGGTTCAATGTTTCCTCGAACCGCTCAGAGCAGGTTCTCTTAGTCTCATGCACCAGAACACGACAAAAGTTCATAAATTTGAGGTAACATACCAAGTTCGATTCGCATTTCAACCTGACCAGATCCTCCAGATGATTCACGCTGTGTTCGTGAGGTGATGTTTGTGGAAACTGAAGCATCTATTTCTTGATGAGATTTTCAACAAGAACGTTAGCATGATGGCACCGCACGATCTATATGCGGACAAATTTCTCTGCACATTATTAATTGCGCATTGTAGTTTGCGTGTAAGTATATGTAAAAAGCATAATGAATGTCTGGTATATTTGGGATAACAAATTCACCATAGGATATATACCGACACACACAGAAAAAATTCGGGTCAGTTGTTTGACATTGCAGTCTCTGCATCTATAGGTGAATGTGTACAAGTGTTGGGACGCATTGCCTCGTTATCGGTGTCTTGACGGAACACATAAGCAGAGGTCCTGTTAACTTGGGCAATCGTAGTTCAGTTATAATGCACGCGTATCGCGATGAGATAATATGATCACCTATGAATGACAGTGCGATAAATATCGGCTTCTTTTGAATTCTTGGTACACGAACTCATTTGGCTATCTCGCCAATGCGCTCTATAAACTGCATCGGATAACCGTGCAATTATATTGTCTCGAACAGTAAATCTTTCACGGCTTGTGTCCACAGTGCAAAGCATGTGGGCTCGGTGAGAAATGCATCCGGACCAGCGAGCATTTGCGTCGTATCGGGAAGAAACTCCTAAAATGCAAACACCGATCTTTACGTGCTGAAACAGTTGACCGGGAATCATAACTTCCAGTGGTAGCACAAAGCGTGACGATTGACTAGCAACTGATCTCATACGACCGCGTTTCGTAACTCGATCATCTCGTGATTTGTGAGCTTTCACGAAGTGACTGGGTCATCTCAGCCAGTCATCAACCGTTGTGTCAAGCGCTGCCCCTCGTGATCCAGCGGCTAACAGAGGTAGAGGTTCCACTGGCATCCCAATGGTGCCAAGTTCGAGGTCTGCCATCTCCACTTGGTGGGAGCAAACAAAGCCGAAACGCGTGGCGGAGTGAAGCGTTATCGGGCAGGCAACAACCTATTTCCATAGGCTTCAGCTGCAATCCTATTACCGAGTTGGCCAAGGTTCGCTTCCATGCAAATCACGGTCCACATTGAGATTACGCGTCGCAATCCAATCACACAACCAGTACCTCAAGTAACCCAGTAATTATATTTCATACTTGTAGTTCAGAATTTGCCCTCTTCGATTCCGACGCCATACAAAATCTTGACGCTGCATTATTGATCTGTGTAGGACTGTAGAAATCATTCTATAGTTTAAAGAAGTCGAAAGGAGCCCCTATAAATTCTTGAGACTTGGGAGATTATACTTAAATCTGACGGCCTTCTTTGTGACCACGATGGCGAAGGCTCAAGCTTCTGAAGCAGCTCTTCCGAAAATTCCAAGTTGGGATTCGTTGTTCATGGAGCATTTCCGGTGCCGAGTGACAGTAGCGTTTTCAGCCAGGAGTTATCTTCCACAATTTGAGTGCATGATAGAAATTTGTAGCAGTTCTACGTTTCCTCGTTCGCTGAAGGCATGATGGTAAAATTCCTCCAAAATATTTTGATAATAGTTGTTTGCAAAGGGTGATTCTTACTTGTTCACAATATCAAGATCTTAGCGTTGAGCGCAGACGTATCTTAATGAATATGAGTATTCCCTGGACAGGCAATTTCCTGCACGAACGTCGGCGAGAATACAAGAATTCCTGTCCGACGAAAATGAGATGGAGTGCGGCGTATCACAAGGCTCGGTCCCCGTTTATTTTGGTTTACATAAACAATCCTCCGAGGGAAATTAGTTTGATTTCCTATTCTTCACGGATACAATCAAGTTAAACGAGTGATCAGATAATCGAACGACAACGAAAAGCTCCAACGTAACCTTAACATGATTTCCAACTAGTCAGTTCAGAATACACCACCGCTCAGTGTGGAAAAATGTCACGCTGTTCAATTGCGCCATAAACATGACTAGGTGTATAGGCTTGGGTAACATGTATTACAAAGAAATTCCCAAGAACGCGAACTTGGTGTGCTCATTCAAAATGACCTTAACTGTTCAAAGCAGCTGCGAAAATAGCCAACCAGCGCGTCGCGTTGCTGCGGAGAGCATCCGGAAGTTTCGACTCATTGATCTTCCCCATGATGCATAATTCTTACGTGCGCCCCCACGTCGAATACCCCATCCAACGTTGGCAACCATGGTTGAAGCGCTCGAGAAACCAGCATTTGGAGATGGGAGGCTTCATGCATAACCGCCATTGTATAAATGCGTCATTTATAATGGGAACCACCTGGATGAAGAATGGCGATGACTCGAAACGGTCGGAGATTTCTCGGTAGTTGTAAGTCCATGTGTTTAATGTTAAACACTTTGAAAAGGATAAATAACGGAGCAAATGTTATGCATTTTTCATGTTTTGGTTACCTTGCTCTGAGTTCCATGATTTTAAATGGCTTTGCATCTTTTTTTCTTTTGATGCCCGCCTTCACCCGTTGGAGAAACCGCACAATTGCGTAAAATGAGCAAGCAGTATTTCCAGCATTTCACTTTCTGCTCGTATCAAACTACGAATGTTCCATCTAAGCTCTCGTTTGGTTCTGTTTTACAAACGTGATACACCAACCAGAAACAGACGAAAGACATTGTCCCAATCCTAAGTGTGCTATCAACTGTTATCACTCTGCTGATATCTTAGCGATATTAAGCCGACATTCGATGAACTAATTCCATCTGTTGGTACGAGTATTAGAATCACTTGTTCGTACACAATGCGCTTGCGAAGATTAAAGCTCGAGGTGCAGCATGATGAACAAAAAAATTCGGTAACTTATTTCTTTCTTTATTGGACTAAGATACATGTTCATCACTTTTAACTATAACGACCTCATGAATGCGCTCTTTGCTTAGCCAGTAACCTCCTTTCACGTTCATACTCTTTTCTGCGCAGCAGCTGATCGTTCAAATGGCATTGCAAGTTCATGTGCCGAAGATGGGAACAAACAAACGCTCCGAGTGCATTTTCTGCCTTGCACTTCTTGAAAGCTATCAAGGTGTGGGCACAGTAATCCCGTTCGTGAGGCTTAAGACCAGCCGCGATCATTTCTTCCTCTGTTACCTGCAAGCGGGAAACAAAATCAGCTACGAGGGAAGCAGATGGATACTAAGTAAGCTACTAGAGAATCATTTCATAAGAAGGATGTGCAATAATCACGGATACATTTCATAAACAGTGCTCCTTTCGAGGAGGCGATGAAAACATCGAGCAGAGCTTATCCGAAATGCCACTAATCCAAGCTAGTATAAACAGTCACCCGAAATAGTTGATCGGTTCACTCATTTGGTAGTTATATCACCGCCGGTGGTCTCAGTACTGACGTCACTGCATGCAGCTCTAAGGCATCTACAGCAAGATCGGTGCACCGTATAGATAGGAAACATGGCCCCTGCACGCCGAGAGGACTGGTTGTCTTCAACCAAATGAAGAAACACAATCTCGCAATGCGAAAGACCTATGCATGGGGCATGCACATGAGCTCTGAGTGTATGATATCAGAAGGCTAGTCGTCTTTAACCGGCAGAATCGGCAAACGCTGAGAATATACGGTGGAAGCACAGAGCGATTAATGTTGATATCCGCAAGACCCTCTAGCGGTACCCTGCACATGTGTTATCCACGTTTGCCTGATCACAAATAAAATATACCTGTCCACATCCCACCTCGACATGCATCGTCAGCGTGCAGTACACGACGTGGGATGAAGTCCCATAGTGGTTAGTCAATCAGGCCGATTTAGTGCAGCGAAGTATGACCCAGGATCGGGACGGTCTTCAACATGGTGCAATCGTGACCATCACAATGAGGCTGGACATGACCATGATGCGATAGCTTGTGGGCCTTAGCGATCCATTGAACTATGCTGGGTGGTGCCTTTTTGCACCTTCGAAGCTGCTCATACCAGATTGGTCAATGGTTAGAGGTCAGACAAACTCAGTTTCCAGGTCTACCAGGGTGGAGTTGGAATGAGGGTGGCACATTATTCCTTGAAACGGACTCCTTGTAGTCAAACGCCAAACCTGCTGCCTTGCGGCCAGGTTTTTGAACCAAAGGCTTTGGTCGAGAACCCTAATCGTTCTCCTGTCTAGGCCTAGGCAACCTGGCAGTATCCTACCTAAAGAATATTAGGCATCTTTTCTCAAACAATTCCGATACTCAAGCCCACCGCAGAGAATAATCAACAGTGCCATATACGCTACATCGAGCAGGGCGGATAAGGGTTTGGATGCCACTGCTCAAGCCCTCCGGTCTTCTTAATCCGCCACTTACGCTTTCTCAAGCTTCACTTTATCCCCAACGTTAAGAACCCCCCAAAATTCCTGACCCACCCCCAAATTGTTTTGATAGACGTTTATCTTCTACTTTCAATTCACACGCAAACGCGGAGCGTCATTACTGTACTGTCGACAAACCCATGTCCAACCAAGCGGACAAGCCTATTACATCGGCTCTTATATGCAGCCTTCGATCCTCCCTCATATTGGCATGCCTCAACGTGCATACACCGTTACAGATCGGTCAACAGGCGGCACTCGATCTGCTGTTTATCAGAAACCTGCCCGCAAAATTCGATCCCTGTGTTCGCCTTTGGATCCCTTCAGGTGACACTAGCAGTGCTTTCTCACTACGCCTATCCGGAGACGATGTAGCTTCGAGTATCAACCAAGCCAGTGGTGGTATTGAAATGAATCCCCGAAATGAAGCTGCTCCCATTGCAATGAAACTGGACCTTATCGTGGTGCCATGGTTTGTGTGCCTCAGTGATCCATTGAGCTATGCTGGGTGGTGCATTTTTGCACCTTCAGAGCCACTCATACCAGATTGGTCAAGGGGTAGAGGCCAGACAAACTTAGCCACCTGGTCTTTCAGGTTGGGGGTTGGAATGAGGTGGCACCTTATTCCTTAAAACGAACTCCTTGTAGTCCAACGCCAAACCCGTTGCCTTGCGGTCAGGTTTTCGAACCACAGGTTTTGGTTGAGAAACCTAATCGTTCTCCTGTCTAGGCCTGGACAACTTGACAGCATTCTGCTCACGCAATACAATGACTCTCTCTTCAAACAAATTGCTGATAGTCTGGCCACCGCAGAGGATAATCAATGGTGCCCTATCTGCGGCATCCAGCAGGATGGATAGGGGTTTGGATGCTACTGCTCAGGCCTTCCCATCTTCTTATTCCCCTTCTCGCGCCTTTCCACCCTTATCGTCCCGTTCCAGCTTCACTTTCATCCCCCTTATTTTCAACCCCCCAATTCTCCGCCCTCCCCCACCTTGCTTCAATGGTCCCTTGTTTTTTAGTTTCAACTCATGTGAACGCAGAGCGTCATTCCTGCCCTGTCAACAGTCCGTGTCCAAGCAAGCGGTCCATTCCTGTTCATCGGTTTCCATTTAGAGCCCTCGATCTTCCTTAAGATTGGCATGTCTCAATGTTTGCACATTGCTGCAAATCGGTCAACAGGCAGCACTTACCCGAACATTGGAGACCCTCCCGATTGATATCTGCTGCTTATCGGAAACCCGACTGCAAGACTCGAACGCTGTGCTCACTCTGCGATCCCCTTCAGGTGACACTAACAGCATTTTCTCATTACGCCTATACGGTGACGATGCAGCTTCGACCACTGACCAAACCAATGTTGGTTTTGCCCTGAGTCCCCGGGCTGAAGCTACTCTGGTTGATTGCATGCCAATCAGTAGCCGGATGTGTGCGGTCCAATTGGCTGGCTCGTTCAAAGCTTCGAAGTCGCGTGTGAATAATAGGTATCTATTCGTTATCGCTGCCTATGCACCCACAAACTGTAGCGATGACTCGGTAAAGATCGACTTCTACCGCCAACTGAACCAGCTCCTTCGCCACAGAAGAAGCTCGGACACTGTAGTGCTGGCCGCAGATCTGAACGCTCAAGTTGGAAAACTGTCCACCGATGAAATGCATCTGGGCGGTCAGCACGGTGTAGGCTCACGTAATGATAACGGTGAGCGCTTATTTCATTTATGTGAGGATGCTCGCTTATTTCTTGCGAGCACTAATTTCCGACACAGCACCCGCCGGAGGGTGACTTGGCGCCCACCAGCCTCGAGCCAGCCTTGGACGCAGATCGATCACATTGCGATAAGTTACCGATGGAGAGGCTGCATCAAGAACTGTCGCTCGGATTGGAGCACATGTGTGGACACCGATCATGCACTTGTATGTGCTGACATGCGGATGCGCTTTGGCGGACGCCCACGACGACGTTGTGACCGCATTGACACCAGCCAACTGGCGAAGCCAGCCGTTCTAAATGCCTATCAAAGTACGCTGTCATGTGAGCTGGATAAACGCTCACTGGATGCGATTGAAGCCCACTGGTCCCATATTCACCAGACCTTACTAGCAGCAGGAAAATCCTCATGTGGTATGTCAAATCGCCAACATGGACATTGGGACTCTTCACAGTCTCTGGAACTTATCGATGCCCGCAGGCATATTCCGGTTGGAAGCGAACACAATGAAACTCGCAAAGAGCTCCGGGCAAAACTCCGTGCTAGCCTGAAGAGAGACCGCGAATCCTGGTGGTCTCATCGTGCGTCAGAGATGGAAGTGGCCGCTGTCCTTGGTAACAATCGTAAGTTATTCCGGCTGATACGGGAATCAGGCAGCAGGAGACCTGGTGTTAGTGAAACAATTTGTGATGAGAGTGGACAGCCTATTCATAATTTGTCAAAACGTTTGGAGCGTTGAGCTGAGCATTTAATCGGCTAGAGTTGTTCGATTCTTCGCCGGCCAGTGATCGCCCTGCTCCGTGGGTTGTCCCTTTGGATCCACCCTCTCGCTCAGAAATCGAACATGAGATCGGACTGTTGAAGTTGAACAAAGTCGCGGGACCAGATGATCTTCCTCCAGCCCTCTTCAAATTCGGAGGCTCTTCACTTGTTGATGCTTTACATGAATTACTAGTGAAACAGTGGGAGCAGGAAACTGCCCCAACCGACAGCAGCCGCTACCTTACCGTTCCCATTTTCAAAGGCGGCTCGCGTTCGGAATGCGGCAACCATAGAGGAATCAGTCTGATCTCCATCGCCTCCATAATTCTTCACAGACTGACTGGCGCTCATGAGAGCCAGATTCGTGAGGAGCAAGCCCGGTTTCGTCCAGGTCGTAGCTGCATCGACCACATCTTCACCTTGCGTCAGTTGCTGGAGCACCGTCACACATATTGGCGGCCCAACGTATTCGTGTTCCTCGACATCAAAGGTGCCTTCGATTCGATGGATCGAAGTGCCCTTTAAATTTGCCTACTCAGGAAAGGTGTGCCCGAGAAATATATGAATAATATCCAAGCACTATAGAAGCGTAGCACGGGCAGAGTGAGGGCTTACGGCAAGCTGTCACCACCCTTCAATATCTCCAGCGGTGAGACAAGGATGCCCGATGTAACCTTTCCACTTCAACTTGACTATTGACGAAGTTATGGAGATTGTATTTACAGGATATAACTTAGAAGGTGCAGAGCTACTCCCAGGAGAAGGACTTCTTGACTTGGAGTATGCAGACGACATCGCCCTCATCTGAAACAGCTGAGCGACGTGCCATACCGCACTGGATAGATTAGCACTGGCTGTCAGCCGCTTCCGGCTTTGCTTTGCACCATCGAAATGCAAGATTGGCAGGGATCGCCTCCTGCGCTGACCCTTGGTGGGGTTCAGCTAGAAGTCTTTCGCAAATTCAACTATCTGGGAAGTTGTATCAGCGCCCCTGGGATCGAAAACGAGATCACGAACCGTATAGCGAAAGCTCGAAGTGGTTTTGCTAACCTTTGCCACCTAGGGCGGCGGTGCGACCATACTCTCGCCCTGAAGGGTAGAGTGTACAATGCAGCGGTACGTTCGACCCTACTGTACGGTTGCGAAACCTGGCCCCTAAGATCGGCGGACATGAAGAGGCTAGTTACGTTCGACCATCGGTGCCTTCGCAGTTTGGCTCACATCTGGTGAAAACACCGCGTGAGTAACGAGCGTGTACGACGCATTGTTTACGGCACAGAAAAAGGAACTGAATCGCTCAACACCGTTATTCCAC